GGTGGTTGTTTTGACAGGTATATATCATCGAGATTCATCTTCTTTGCGGCTCTGAGGAGCGGTAATTTTGTGTAAATGTTCGATGAAATTATTATTATTATTATTATTATTATTATTATTATTATTATTATTGGACATTGTTTGACTATAATGAAAGAACTAAATTGCACGCGATAACGATTTAAACGTTTTTTTTTCTTATGCAATGTTGTACACCAATTTCAAAACGCAAAACAATTATCGCAACACTTTTTTTTCGTCATCCTCCAATTAATAACTACTCGCGATATGTCATACATGTATAAACAATACCGCACTCCCATTTCAAAACAATAGGCCGTATATTATCCCCCGTTTATCGCGTAGACCAACGAGGAAGCGGGAACGAGAGGGGAGAGCTGTAAGAAGGAGTTTTAAAAACGATGAAATACTATCCAAGCGGCCGGCTAATCGAATAAATTAATTTGAATAACCGGCAACAAATGGAACGGCTCAAACGGCAACAACGAGCCGGCCTTTGTTCTGCGCGTTAGTTTCACACACTCCTCTTCCTCCTCCTCTTCTTTTTCTACACGCCCGCGCGCGCATCGACAATGCGATCCGATTTTTTTTTTTTTTTCGCGTCGTAAGTATATACTCTTGCAGGCTAGTTGATAATTTATTACATACATATTTATTGGAACATTTTGTAAACATTGTGCAATCGAATAAATGGAGAAATAAAAGAAAACACCAACGCATAAACGGCAACGTTCTATACTGCCTACCCCGAAAAAAATGTACTAGTTATGACTAAGAAAGGAATAGCCGATACTTAAGTACTTATGATGACAATACTTATTAAAAGTCGAAAACAACCAAGTAAAGACCTTGTCATCTTTTTCCGCCTCTCCAGTTGAGCGTAGGGAAGAAATTATATATTTAGTGAGTATATGCATGCACAAGTACGGCGCTTGTGTATAAAACTCGTGTCGTCAAGGGGCTGCCGCATCAGTAGCAGTCGGCCGGCGCCGGCCAATCCAGCTGCTGTGGTGCGGCACCCCGAACTCGACCCCGAGTCCCTTTGGCTTCCCCATGTAGGTACCTATACCTATCCCTGAATATAACACAAACTTCCCCTATCTCTGTTAGCGTAAAATGTGTGTATTACTATACAGCCGAAACTGAAGTTCATACTTAGTTAAACGAAAAGATAGTAAGTTATGAGCCAGTATAGTTACAGCTTTGTCGATCAGAGAAGTTAAGCAGCTTTGGACACGTACAGTAGGTACTCGAATGAGTGACCATTAGACTCCGTTTGCCTTGGCTGATGTTGACTTTTCTGATCGATTAGCTGTTTTTCCCCTTCACTCTTGATAACGTCAGCTGGCGGTGTACAGAAATTATGTACTGAGGTACTTATGCTTAAAAATAAAGAGAAAAAAAATTTAACGAGACACCCACTGGAAACTCATACAAATACACTCGAACCCCCTAACTTTATCCTTCAGCTGTCCCTCTACACTATATATACTTATAAATGTCAAGTGCCACAAAAGAAAGAACGGCACTGCAATACATAGGTACCTATGAAAAAATAAAAAAATAAAATAAATTTACGTGCACTTCAAATTTTAAGTTCTCGTTGCATCAAGAATTTACATCCTTTGCAACTTTCAATAGAAAAGTAGAAAAGTTTGTCCTATCACACCTAAACCATTATTGTGTATACCTACATGCTAATAAGTACTCGTACGCACACCCCCGTTTCTATCCTGTGGCATAATATCTAACTTATATTGTAATATAAATATCTGCAAATGCATAACACACATAAGTACAACAAAACTGGTACTTTTGACACTCACCTCCCACGTATTTGGAAAGTCCTTCTCGTGTACGAATCCTAGAGTGCAATAGCCTCCTTCTCCTTTTTTTTCTCTTCCGCTCGGAAACTCTACGACGAGCCACAAGTATTGAACTCAAACTTCCTCCTCGAAGACGAGGATGGTCTCTTCGCCGCACTGCTGACCATATCGGTCACCACATAGATACTCCTCGTGCATTCACCCGCACTGGACATCTGAGTTTATGATATTATATGGTGGAGAATTAGAGATTTATCAGTGATAGTGCATCATCTTTGCAGAAAAAGACGAAAACGAGCATTTGATTGGATTATCACGAACTTACACACACTGTATAAATTATGTGAGTAGGTATGGAACACAGCAGTGCTGCGTTTTAGCGTACATAATTATAAAATGCACATTAATAATTTACAATGATATTACTACACGGTCACATGCACTCACACATTATCACACACGTAAACACGATTACGGGAGAACCTAGTAACGAGAAGGTATAAGCGCTTAGCAGCCAGGCAGTATGAACAGTGCACGACACACACAAGATGCAAAAGTCGCCGACCCTTTCTATCTCGTCTATATAGTCCCAATAATCTATCTCGTTCTCTTATCTGCACCTAAGTAAGTATATAATATACGGTACTTGTACACATCGTTCTCTATACTTTTATCTCTTCAACACACCGTCCTTCTTTTGTTTATTTTTGGTTGTTTTTTTGCACGTAAGTACATTGACTTGTCTTTTGGAGTTGTGTGTTGTGTACGAAAACGGGCGATACCTAGATATCAACTGCAACTGTTAACGTGAAACCTTCACCTATCCTGACACCTCTCGCGAGCCAAGAGCCAAAACTGACTGAACGACTGAACTCACTCAAAAGCAGAGAATGGAGCTGATGGAGCAGCAGGGCAACAGTCGGAGAGCCCGCTCGCTCGAGGCTCTCGGGGGCTACCGTTTGTTTATTATATATATATATATATCAGCACGGAGCTGAGCAAAGATGAGTATAGAGCAGCACAGAGCGCGCACAGCACACCCGACAGTCAGCGACGTCGGCGCCGTGGTTCTCTAGTTTCAGTTCAAGCCTTGTAGCAAAAGCAGCTGCTGCAGATGTGATGATGCAGCGCCGCAGAGGCACAGTCGTCAAGTGTAAGTATAATATATGGACCATTCTACCAAAAAGGGTATCAATTACAACGTTGGGTAAGAGGATAAATAAGGGACTAAATAAGCGTTACGAGCTCGTGTCCCATACATTTATAGTTATACGACACCTGGAATCAAAATACGGAGTTCTTAATACTCTACGGCGAGGGATCTTAAGGTTAATGTAAACAACAATTTCACGCTTTTAGAGGACAAAAAAAATTTATCCAAGACTTGGATGGGGTTTAAGTATTTTTCGAAACTGAAAACTGACAAATTTAACATTCCAACGGAAAATGCTCTCACAAATGCATGCAATTGAAATTGGGCGTTCCAATTCGAACGTTTTATATTCTACAAAGGTTGAGGATGTTGCAAGAATTTTTTCCGATTTTTCATCCCGCTAGGCCAGTGCAACAAGCTCGCGAATTTGTAAAGTCTATTTCCCCAAAATAAAAACTAAGAGCCCGTAACCCTAATGAATGTCATGTATCTTTTCGAAGCATTATTCGGTTATCGACTCGAAAAAAATGGGTACGATTAAATCTGTTTTATATATGAATTATATGATATGAGTGCAGTGGCAAAACTTAATATTTGGTGCATTACAATCTCGATTTTTTGACGCATTTATAAGAGCCCGTAACGCTCCTTTTTAAAAAAAACCTGTAATACTAAAAAATCGCTTAAATCTTCGCGAGATGTTCAAGTATCGACTCGAAAATTGATGGGTTCAAATACAGTTGTTTTGTATAAAGGATGTAAGCGTAAGGGCTAAGTTTAATTTTTATTTAATGTGTTACTATTTATTTTTTTAGACGCTTTAATAAGAGCCCGTAACGCCCTTTTTTTGCTAAGAGCCCATTTGACTCGCCAAAAACGCTATCCCGTAACGCTTTGTAGCTTCGTTTAGATTTAGAGTATCGACTTGTATACACACAAATGTTGTATATCTTTATATAAGTCAAATTTTTATTGTCAGAACTTTTATCTCGGTTATATTAAGATTTTATAAGAGCCAGTACCCCGTACAGCTTCTATTTTTTAAAATAAGAAAGTCGTAACAATTTTCCTTGTGCAGGTATTGGCAAGGCTCAAAAAATTTTAACTTATTTTGGTCTCAAACAATACAAAAAAAAATATTTGCCATGATTAAAAATCCATTTCAAGTGCTTTTCCATTCCGGCCCTTTCTTTCGTCGAATAACCCATCTATACAAAGTACAGCACGATGTGCACGAACTATCAGAGTCCCGGTAATGACATCTGCAGGTACATATGGCTACGAGAATATAAGTGTCCGGTATATGGGCTAAGTATTAGAAATTTCTACCTTGTCGACTACTTTACCAATAATTTTTACGTTATTTATTATAGACGAAGAGCTGAGGCCGAAGGGTGGTCAAAATTTTAACCAGCCGCCACTCACACCAGAATTGAGGAACCTTATGATTCGTGGAAATCCGAAATATTTTGGTCATATTTCATTATAGTGGTGAAGAGTTATGTGGTAATTATAGTAGTGCCGTATGGTCTTTTTTATTGACTAGCCGCAACTTACACCAATAGATAGAAAATGAAAAGTTGGCATCCAAAAGTGCCATTTGCGGCAAGATTAGAATGCATCTTGTACCTGAAAATCGACCTTCAAAAATAGATAATAGATGAGGTATTATAGATAACATTGATATCTATATTAATACAATATCTATTTTTTTTGAGGTCGATTTTCGGGTACAAGATGCATTCTAATCCTGCCGCAAATGGCACTTTCACGTGACAACTTTTTAGTAACTATCTATTAGTGTAAGTTGCGGCTGGTTAATAAAAAAAATTATATGGCACAACTTTAATTACCACATAACTCCTTACTCCTTACCACTAGGCACTATGAAATATGACCGAAATATTTTGGATCTCCACGAATCATAAGAGGTTCCTCAATTCTGGTGAGAGTGAAATGAGTTTGAAATGAGAAAACACTCTGCGTGGATTAAGTATCTCTGACCCGCATTTAGTTTTAGCTGGTTTTAGTTCAAGCTGCATAAATTATGGAATGAATGATAGAATTTAAACGCGCTCTTGCGTGTTATGTTATTTGATGTGTTAATATGTTTTGTCACATAATTTTCGGAATTGTTAAGCAGGCTCAAATATTAGTTGATACTCGTCACCAATGAGCTCATATTTAATTCACATGTGAGTGCAACTAACCTCTTTTTCTGGTAAGTTTTTCTTCAAAATATTTTATTGAATTATAATATTAGCTAGCTAGTGAGTATGTAAAGTACGGATTTTATTTTAATATTGATCAGAATGTAATTAAACATAACTAAGGTTTTTTTTTTACTGTAGATTATCTCTTGAGACAGGCTTTCTTCCAAAATGAAGTGTTTCCTTTGCCTTCAAGGAGATCCAAGGTTGAAAAAATGCACCAATAAGTTTTTTACTAAAATCAAGCATGCCATTTTCATCAGAGCAACATTACAATTAAAGTATGGTGACGTTATCTTGCCTGAAGCGTTTGACAAAGACCTATATTACCATTCTCAGTGCTACAGAAACGTTAACTCGATTGGAAAAAAATATTTGACAGAGTACGAGTTACAGCTCAGTGATGGGGAGATACAACACCCAAAGAATTTCGTTGACTACAGTACATGTGTTGAAAGAGAAGGTCCTGTACCTGAAGTGGAAGACAATACTCGGGCAGTGGACGTATTAACAGAAGTTGATGCCGCGTCAGCCACAGATAGACCCTGTGATACTGATTCATCTGCTGATGTCGAGAGTGCTGTAGAACAGCCAATAAGTATTGTTGTCAACGGCTATGATTTAGCTAATCCCGAGATTCTCATAGCCGAGCCGCTTGACAAAAGGTTTGATATGCAAATATTTCAATAATTTGTAATATTACCGCTCTCCTGAGTCATTATTTTAATATTTAGCTGTCTAACAATGTGCTTACTTTTTTTCTATTGCTGTCGACAACAGCCCCTTACGATTACTTACTGTTTTTCATCCACCTGTACAATAAGTACAACTTTTCTTTTAGTTTCAGAGATTCAACGTCTGCCTGCTTCTTTTGCAATGTGACAACCACTAAAAAAAAAGGTCGTCTTTGCACTTCCAAGGATGGCAAAGTATTAGAAACGATTGAACGCAGCGCTACGATTCTCAAAGACGTCTGCATTCTGAACAAATTGGAGTACTATAGGAGTCAAACTTTCAATGTTTTGTATCACAAGCCATGTTTATCTACTTACATAATTCAAAGTAATCGGTTGACGTTAAGCCATAAAAATGAGAAAAATTACATAAGAAATAATTTAATTAAGGAAGCCGAAAACACCATCCGCTCATTCATACAGAAGAGGGTCGTGAATGAGAAAAAGTTGTACTTCCTTTCACATTTGGAAGACAAATATATTCAAGAGACTAAAGCGTTATTTCATTGTGCTTTTCTTAATTCTCCGATTCACACACAGCGTAGTTTAAGAAGTAAGTTGCTACGGTGGTTTCCTACACGCATAAAATTTGTTGAATTCCAATCAAAAACCATAGTGGCTCCCACCTCCTTTTGTCCGGAAGTTGAAGCACACGAGTTATCCACGGAATTATGTGAAAGTCAGTGTAGTGACGAGGCCACGAGTATTTCATATGAATCAGCTTTAAATGTTGAATCAACGAAGTTAGACAGTGATAATATTGATCACGTAAGTTCGGAAGAGTGGGAGAGTGAGGAGTCACCGTGGCGAATTACGAGCTTCTACGAAAAAATATTTTAAGAGTGACCGCAGTTGAATAAAACAATAAGTTTGAAATCTACAATGCATCTGAGTACCGGTAAATCTGCCACACCAGTACTACAGTGCGCGCGGTCCTGTTACTTATTGGCCACACCTTGTATGTAATTTCCCACTAATAATGTCGTCACTTACTTATTAAATAGTTATTTATAAAATAAGAGATCTTATCGCGTGGTTAAACAAAAACAATATTGTCGAAATGGTTGAAAGTTGCGGGTACAAAAGATAGCGAGACCTTTAATTTTTACCGACTATTTTAATTTAAGACAAACATAATATTTAAGGATCACAAAATACACTCTTATATTTTTTAATAATGTTGGATTTTTTATTCGTTTTTCACGCTTTTATCCGATGTTCCTAATCCTTGAGTATACTATGGTACTGACGTCTAGAATCACTCGAGAATAGGGTGAACAGTAGTGGCGAGCGGGTGATGAGGACAACAAAGAAGGGGATCGAGCACGCTTTTAAAATTTCTTTTTAGGGGTTGAAAACAATAATGAATAAAAACATTGGTCAGCCAATATTGCAAGTGGAAATATTTCTTGGGGTTCGTTTTGCGTCTCAAACAAACTTCGGTAAGTATTATAAGAGAATTAAATTTTTATGAAGTACTATCTTACAAAGAGCTTGATGACTTAGTTTTACCCCCCCCCTCTCTCTTGAGTAATTCAGTTTCAAATGTTTTGGGAGTGGATAGGTAAAGGGAGGTAATTTCAATATTTTTGCAATGCAAACTCAAAGTGTGGAGGAAAAGATTAAAAGTGTTGATCAAAATGTAGCTAAACGTACAAAGTCACTCAAAAAGGAGAACAAGTAGAATATGACGATGGAGACATCACATTAATATGTAAGCAGCCGAAAAGATAAAAGTAAATTAGAAAATGCTGAAGCCCAAGAGCGAAAACAGACAATACCAATTGGTATTGCTTTGGGGATTACCAATTCCTGCGTCGCAGTATTTAGGAATAATAAGTATCAGATTCCACCAAATGAGAATAGTCGTAGCCATAGGTGCAACTATCCAAGCTGCTATAAACTCTGAAAATGTTACTGATTTATTGCTATTGGATATGTTACTTAATATGTGTAAGAGAGTTAGTGGCTAAGGTATACATGGCAAGGAATAATGGCAAAAAATTTTCTGTGAAAATTGATGTTTCTCAAGGAGAACGAACGATGGTGAAGCATAATTATTTACTCGGAACGTTCAGACTTAACATAATCAATTTATCAGATTCAGTTTCGCACGTGATAAAAAAAGCTGGGCAGCATCGTAACAAAGATTTAGAACATAAGAAGATACTGCTATGGCCAAAGAAGACCTTGAGAACTATTGCTATATGGCAATGTTAAGAAAGATATTAATACGAAATCAAAAGATACGAGTCGTTGTATGATTAATCAAGAGTGTGATGAAATTGTAAAGTCTGAATATCGACGAGTCAATGGATGAGAAAAATAAGAAAAAAACTACTTCGTGAAAAAGTGACGCCTGAAGTTATCAGAAATGAAAAAAATTTAGAGTACACCTTCAATAACACCCATTAGAATAGTAAAAATTTTAAATAAGTTTATCCTTATTTTTTTCCCTTGAATACCCTCCTTTTTTCCCAAGTACGCGAGTCTTTGGTGCGGGCCCCTTGCAAAGCTCCCCTCAGACGACTCGGTCATCCATCCTATTGGGTATACTATTTACTGGGCGCAGCAATAGTCTTAAGCACACCCCAGCTATTATCAAGTTTAATGGAAAGATATTTTCCAATAAGCCATCTAAACTCGCAGTACCGACCTTTTTACGAGTGACAGTGACTTTTACTTGAAACTAGGGCCGGATTAACACTTTTTAAGGACTGGGGCTAAAAATTATGCAGAGTCCCTTATGTATCAAATTTTAGATGATCAGAAGATAAACCATAAGCAGATATATAGTCTCATCTAGTTAAACTTGCTTTGATGTTCTATATTCAAACAGCTAGATGAATTAAACCATGAGCAACGCCCGCAAAAAGCGAGGTGAAGTTTTATTCGAAACGAATATAACGTAGCATTGAAAAACCACATTTTAAGCCCTCAATTAGCTATATTGTTACGCACGTACGATATTATGCTCTTTCTCACGTAACACTACATTCATATCACCATTTGTACTAAACAATATAATTAACCTTGATTGCATTGCAAACATTTGTTTGAAACTATGATTTATCGACGTCTTAAATAGTACATTACATTATGTCACTAGCCCACCAGGGTACAAAGTACAAACTTGAGCGCCAGCGTTGTTGTTTGTGCTCGAGTCGTGTAGTATATAGTTGCTCTTTACGCCCATATGGTACGAAACACTAATTTCTAAGAAAAAACGGCCCAGTAAAAGTGGGTGGCAATATTTTTTGAGCAGTGTAAGTTGGGTTGGCAATTACTAAAATAGAAATTTCGTGCTATTTTGGGACGTTTTTCATGACATTTGGACCTTTCCCACCTGATAAATCTCACCTGAGACTCGAAGAAATGTATTTCATTTTTAAAAAATAGACGTAAAACACCTTTATAGATGTGTTTTTCGATCTACCATCCTAATGATAACACCAACGAGGCAACTTTGAATACAGTGAAATAAATTTTTAATTTTTTTTTTTTTTTTAGCGTAAATGTTTTTTAATTAATCTCAGCTGAGATCTCAGGTGGGTTACAGCACCCTCGGTAGGAAAAATAGTGTTTGGCACGTAAGCGTCATCCGACCGGGACTATAACTCTATACGAACCCTTGGGCCGCAAGAGAGCCCCAGAGGCGATGGCACTTATCTGACGAAAACTACCATTTTTCTTACTGTAGGCGCAAAGTGTGCTCACGAGCAAAAAGTACGACTTAATTTGCGTATATAATCATATCTTGCCTTTCACCCTTCCATGTCTTGGTTCTTGCCTATTTCGGAGGGTACTTACAGACTCTAGTGGGCGAAAAGTAGGAACATGTACATGATATGAACGATCTACGGATACATTAAAGCTCACAATGGCTCAGTGGTAGCTATGAAACGAGAAATTTTCCATTTTGGATTTCATTCAAGAAAGGTCTCATCTCGGTCGAGCGCTAAAAAAGAGCCTATTTCGGCCAATCTTCAGGAAAGGGCTTTTTTCCCACTCGCGGCATTTCTGTGCGATTTGTTCACAGGTATGTGCCATTATAACTGTTGTATGTTAATACCGTGCCGTCGTAGTCTGCAGTAACGAAAACGGTACCAAATTAAGTACGCAAAAACGGAGTCCAATAGGTACCCAATTGGATTACAATAAGCCATTTAAATAACAAGACAAGACCATTGCTCTGAATGTAATGAAAATTATCAGCACTACCCATAGGTTGTTGTCGGGTACGCTAAATAACTTCACTCAAAAAAAAAACAGGTTTTTATTCGGTAAAACCCAAGCGGAAATTTTTTTTGTGATTAAGTAACGAAAAAAATAAAATGAAATAACTAATAATATTTTATAAAGTCCAGATTTGAGACTATAATAAAGTTTAATAAGTATTATTATTAGTTGTTATTATTATTTTTTTTTTTTTTTTCGTCATGAATGCCATTATAGAAACATAGAAAAAAGTAGTAACTAAAAACAACTTTTATGATTACTGATCACTATTTAATACTTGACCTTTAAGATTAAAAAAAAAACTAATAGCTATTAATAATTGTCAATACAATATTTTATATCAGATAGAAAAAAATAATAAAAAATAATAATCCTTATAGGTACAGTTGTATACCGTTCGATCTCGCGAACAAAAAAAAATCATAACTAATAATAAGTATTTAAAAGTTTTAATAACAACTTGTGACAGACAATTGTGAGTAAAAAGAAGTCTTATTACCTACTTGTCTCAAATCTAGACATTAAAAACTGTTATTATTTTTTTATATTTCCTACTAATTTTTAAAAATAGTTATAACCAACTTATCAAACAAAATTATTTCCGCTTGGAAATGAAAAGTAAATCATTTATAAAGAAGTAGTAGTGGTTTTGTAAATTCTTGTAGATAAAAATTCGCTCTTTCCAATGAACAAAATGTCAGTGATTCCACTGTAGAATTTTTTTATAACGTACAAATAGGTGAATGAAAAAAAAAAAAAAAGATAATAAATAGAGCACTCTAAGTTGATATAATTCTTACTTTGGTGATGGTCGCGGTGGTGTGACTATCGGGGGTATAAGAGGGACATTATTCGTAATTTTCATTAGTAATTACCATACATATTTATTTCATATTTCAACAGATAAGCAAACTAACACTTATATATTTTTGTATGTATGTGTCTATTAGGTATGTACGGCCTGCATTAACGAATAAGTAATGTCGATACAGTGTAAATACATACTTTACATCAGAGTATCGTGTGCTGTGCCCTCCCTGTACTTACTTACAACGCAACTCTCGCACTCGACTCTCTCGAGCCAAAAGCCGCCGAGTCCTCAAACACATAGATAGAGGTTAGTTTTTATCAAAGTGGAGTCTACTTGTGGGTGTAAAAATGAGGGATAAATTGTACATATTCTTTAAAATTGTTAACTAAAATTTTATGAAAGCTTACGAGTGCTATGCTCGCCCGTGCATGTGTATAAAAGTTTTTATTCGGATAATGAACAAAGTCCTTTCACATTTGAATTTTTCAGTGAGGAAACTTATAAAGTGTAACATTTACAAGTGCAAAACATTATGTAAATGGAAAATGGGTTAGTACTGCTTGTCATTGTTGTATTTGCAATGCTCGTTACAAGTGATGAATATATTTTTATTATTTTTTTTTTTTTCGACAGCTAGTCCAACGGAACAGAATAAAAATCGTATAATATGGATTGACATGGAGGTATGCAATAAGTTGCTTTACTTCACCATGTATAAATAGGCATGCTTATGATATTATGAAAATGATTTCAGATGACTGGTCTCAATGTGCTGGAAGATAAAATTTTAGAGCTCGCAAGCATCATTACTGACGATAATTTGAATATTGTCAGTGATGAGTTTGAAATAGTTATTAACCAATCAGAATCAATCTATGAGTCTATGATTCCCTGGTGTCAGGAGCAACACAAAAAAGTAATTTGACAAAAAAAATTTCTTTATGCTCAAAATGTAAAATATTGTATCATATATTCATTTGTTCATACCACTCTATGAGTTGAAACAGTTTTTATTACAAACAGTAAAGAGATGAATATTTTGAATCAACAATTTTCACAGACAGGACTCATTGATGCTTCAAGAAAATCCATAAACGATGAACAAATGGCTGAAGAAAAACTAATCATATTCTTAAAAAGGTACGTTCCACACAAGACTTGCCCTATGGCAGGAAACTGCTTATACATGGACAGGGCATTTCTTCAGAGGTACATGCCTAAAGTGTATGATTATTTGGGTGATGATGTCATCGATGTTGCTTCAATCAATGAATTAGCAAAGTAAGATTACCATTTAACTGTAGTTCTTTCAAGTCCCCCATGGAGTTAAAGTTAATTTTTGGAAATAAATTTTCACAGGAGGTGGAACAAAAAGATTGAAAAGAAAAAACAAAGAAAAACGGGTGATCATAGAGCTCTTGGCGATATAAAGGATAGTATAGAGGAATTGTCTTATTACAAAAAAAATATATTTATATGATTTTTTTAAGAATATTTTTGTACAAAACACAAATGAGTTAAAACTTTAATTAATCAATGAATCTAATATTATATTTTTA